AATTTATAATTTCTAACGTCGTAGTTCCGCACATGAAAATTACAATGATTGTCATTTTCACGTCATCATAATTAAACCCTGCAATGTCTCGTAAACCACAAAGTGTATGAGTTCATGGTATGCTAAATATTCAATTCACTTAAACGTAGATGTTGTTATATTATATTTCTCAAATTGTTTGAGTATAAAATATAATAGTCTACCGGGAAGGTATGCATTATTATTGATTATATATTGTTTTCATTATATTTTATGTTCTATAGGAATTTCTTCGGTATTAATTATGCAGAATCAACATAAGGTACGGGAAAAAAGTCAATTCATTTTGAAAACATAATATCATATTATTATGATACAATAGTCAAGATCTAATAAATATAATAAAGTGACCAAKACATATAAAATTTCAAAAATATTCATAGACATCGATATTTAGAGTATATTTGACACTCCAATGTATGTATTTTGTTGAGGGTTTTTCGTACTATTTATCTCGTATTATGATTTTTATTTTGATACCATTAAGGTTAGGTTAGTTTTAGGATAGTTATAATTCATAATCAATATACGCTGTAATAGTGATTGTGGCAAGTATTCAGTTTCATCTTATGTAGCGTCAAAAACAGCTTTATAATCTTATACATTTATATATCTAAATGGTTTATCTAATGTATGAACATTGCATCACATCGTCGCAGGACTGAAAGAAAACCACTTCAGGTCTTGCAAGACTGTGATATGTTCTCGAAAGCTAAACTATGCTTGTACTGAAGATTTATCCGTCTGAATTATCTCTAAAATTGCTTTCAACATATTCTATCTTTAAAATCTTTGGCACGGTTATGGTAAAACTTGTGTTCGTTTCGAAATTATACTCAAACAGTTAAATTTATTGTTATTTTAAATTCTGAATAAAACGATAAATATGTATTTGTTTTATAAAATTCATGTATTTTTTCTATTATTATTGTTGTTGTTTTATTGTCAAATATTAACGAGGATTACAGATATTTATTATTTTAAAACTTGCATCTATATAGTAGTTTCTGACAATGATAAATTAAGATAATTATATTAAATTAATAATGTAAAATTATCATGAGGATATTATAAAATACACGTGAGTAATATTTTCTAATGAAATATATTTATTCAAAAATAGAAGTCTCACAAATTAAAAAATCTCGAAAATAATATTATATAACTAAACAATTTATTAATTATCAATACGACATTCATTGATGTTGATCAAGTTTCAGTTCCTTTAGCTCGGAATCCTTTTTTTGTACACCTATATATCCATTTATGATTATGTAGTACATGAATTTCATACTCAACACGTCCATTATCGGATGAAAATGATTACATTAGCTGGAAATCTAACTACTATACAGCAAAGGTGAGATACCCGTTTTTTTTTTATCACTTCAATTTTCTATTTGCGTGCGTTGACTGGTGAGACGTGGTTTCTCCAAAATGTATTATATAATCGAAACGCCATCGTCATCTCGTATATAAAATAATATAGATATAGATATTAGATACACAATATACATATAAATAATATATATATTTAAAAATACACACAAATATTTGGTCAATTCGATTCGGAGTAKAGTGAGTTCAAAATGCTTAGTCGACACTTAAAAATTGCCATCGCATTACGGTTGCTGTGCATTGCGGGTTTAGTTAGAGTTCACTATATATAAAGTCGATATCCATGTAATTACGCAACATTAAGTTGCGTTTTCGCAAACTTTTCCCTTTTCACTCTATACTAGTTGTAGTAGTTTCTGCCGCCCAGTTTATCTAAGTACAGTTGCAACCACTGTAAAAAATAAATATCCTAAAAAGTAAATTATGCTATTCTTATCAGATGTACAACGCTTGTATACAATATCCAATATACATGTATAGTGTAACATATTTGAATATAGCCGCAATACCAATCTCACGGTTCTCTTTATTCACCACTGTCGTTATTATGTTATTAATATTATTTATTTTTCCATTAAGTATACATTTTGCATTAATAAAACACTGAACCCAGTAATAGTTGTAAGTTGAGATGAATATTGTTCCGGTAAATTTGTATTGCAATGAACTTACAATATCATGGTATCAATTTTCGCGAGATAAATTATTTACAATTAAACGAGGGATCACTACCTTAGAACTAATATTTATTATTGTTGTAATTTCCGTACAAAATATTATATAGAAAAAATAGTATGTTACACAATATACATTTAATATGTGATATTATAGGTACCTATACCACAATCATAATATTATACAGATAAATAACCATAATATTATTGCTAGTATTGATAAATTATAATTAAGCTGCATTTTATGCAGTTCATTAGTGTTCATTGTAATCCTGAATCTTCAATTAATAATTTTAATATTTTTGCATGAAATTAAACTAAGAACGTGTATACACAAATATTAACACATTACAATATTATATATTATACCTACATTATAAATTATATGAATATAAATAGTGTTTATTATGAAGTACGTTTATCGTGTATAACATTTCTTTGCTAATTATTCATTAAAATGAATGTATTAAAAAATGTGTTACCACATTGAAGCAGGTGAGCCTATCATGAAAATGAATAACACTAAATTGAATTAGTGTTAAGTAACAAATCATAGGTTGCTTTTGAAGCAAATAATACCTAATGTTTTTGCGTAAATACAAAATGTGAAATACTTGATATTTGTCTATTATTTTTCGATGAAACTATGACCTAGTTCATTAAATTATTTGAACCGATCAACTAAGATCACATGCTTTTAAACATTATACAGGAGAAAATTGTATATTATAATAGACAGTAACGGGAATATCAAAACTGTCCGTTATTAACAGGTACATTAGAATACTTATCTTTTGATGAGATATTGTTGACATGCTGTTGTCCATTCAAGAGAAGTGTCCGCTAAGATATGTTTCACTGTATAATAACATTTGTGTTGTATATGTGTATATATTACAATTCGTTTGATATTATCAAATTATAATATAAATATTATACTATATAATGTAGTTCTAGAAATAGCGCGTGTGAATATAATAGACACTTGTAAAATAAAAAAAAAAATATGGTTACTGAGTATGTTTTTGACAATAAGTTAATAAATGTTATTGATACACAATGAATATAGATTATATATTAAATTGGTTTGACAGGTTTAATCAAAACTATTTTTTCTGAAAGCCATTTATTTGAAGTAGGATAAAAACCAATTGCTTGACAAAATGCGAAATTCAAAACAACTGACATCACTAAAATTTAAAACACCGATGTCTACAATTGTGTTTTTAGTTCATACAATAACTAGGTAAATGTATTTATTTTTTCACTAACTCGTTTAATTAAATATATCTTGTTGAGTTTAGTTGGCGAATACGTCTTGAAATATTTGATACTTTGATACATTATTATTAAAAATAAATGCATATATTATATACGGGGTGGGGTGTTGCATTAATAACTGACTTAAATTAAATAACTTAACTTGTGTAGTAGGTAATCAATAAAAAATATTTATTATTTTTTTGTTGATTTATAATTTATAGTATTTGTGCTATATTTATAGTATACATTTTTATTTATTTATTATTTTACTGGAAATAAAAGTTTTAAAATTTGAAAAAAGCTAATTAGTTAATATGGTTAGTAGAACAATTTTGATGGTAAAAACATTTATCTAAATCGATATTTATTTTTCAACATTTTTAAAATATATTTCGTATATTTTTTGGAATAAATAAATTTAAAATCTTATCACTTTTTAAATATTATTTTTGGAATTTTCGTGACATGAGTAAATTTGTTATGAATTTCACGAAGTTCCCCCCTATATAATTTTCACAATTTCTATCATATGTTTAACTGGTATTTATTGTTTTTTACAGATATTTATATTACCCCCGGTTTTAAATAAATTAAGTGTAAAATATTATAACTATTATGCATGCTTTAGTTTATATATACATGCAGTATATACAATGTACATTACTACCTATTTAGTATTTTTAAAAGAACTTAATAATTGATAATTATTAAAAAACATCTAATTTTTTAATATCACGACTTTATATCTTAATTTGTAATGTTTTGGTTCCGTGATTCTACATTTATACAACAAATATAATTTAAAACAAAACAAATTAATTATATTATGTATTTGTATAATATATATATATATATATAAATATTACATTATATGTCCATTTATCAATAGTACACAATATCATACAGTTGTATAACTTAATAATAATCACCATCAGGTAAACATTATTGGTATGTCATGTTATTATTATAATATGGATATATTACATGATTATACGCAGGAAAATTATTAAATCTTTTCACATAAATGTATGCTTATTTAAACATAACATAATATTTATCATATTTAAATTCAATTTTTATGACAGTTCAACATAAATAATAAAATATTATCGATAAGATTAACGAAACAATTTTACACTATTTAACAAAGTTATCACGGTAATTTAAAATTTTAAAATTCTTAACCACCCACTGACGTAAAGTAACAAAAGTAAATTAACAAAGTATGCATAGTATTTTTAAATGAATACATTTTAAATATTAATCATTTTATCAATGACAAAATGTAATAATTTCATCTTAATATCGGTATATTTGGGTTTTGTTTAATAGTAGATCTAAAACAGTCGAGAAATCAATAAATTAATAGCGTATTAATATTACATAACGCTATAAACTTAAAACTCTAAATTAGTTTTAGAGATAATAAATAATATACGTAAATTTCCGTTAAAAAGTTTAAATCATTAACACCTATGTACAATAAATTAATGAAAATAAAATATGTAATTACTTATTTTAAGTGCAATATTATTGGGATTTTCGCCAACAAAACCAGTTGAATAAACTATTTTGGAAAAAATAGAATAAATTAATGACAAAATAAAACGTTTAAAATAATGCGGAAAATTTCAAAATAGGAGGAATGTATAATACAAGTTTTTAAGTTTTTTAGCCAACATGAAATGAAATGAAAATCCCAATAAAACTTTGGACTAAAAATGTAGAGCACTGGGATACAATAAATTTATTCCTACCATTTGAAACCTCGAAAAGGATAATATATTTTCTTTATACATGATTTGTATACAATAAGATTATGGAAAATTATTTTAGTTTACAAAGAACTTCTTTACAGTTTTAGTAAGTTCGTAAAACGTACGTTAATATTTTATTAACATCAAAACAAAGTTTAATATGGTAAAGGTTACACCAAACGTATTTGAATTACTCAATTTAGTAAAAATCAAATATAGTTGTACTTATAAAAAAACCCATCGAAATCTATTATGTCCAATAAGAAGGAATGATGTCAACGGGAAAATTGACAATTCTGTCACTAACAGAGCTGAGTTTGAACTTTTATGCCGTTGAATTGCTGCTGTATTGTCAATTTCTAAAACAGATAATTATAAAATAAACCAAGTGTTATGTATTATTTTATAATCAATTACATGATAGTTTCTATAAGTTGCCATACAATTTTATAATTATGCAGTTAAAATATAATATTGAATTGTTTTGAACATTAATTTTTTATAGGTAGATATTATATAATAGTTATGGGGAAATATTCAGATCAAATTATTTGTTGTTATATTATGTTCCAAAATTGAATTTATAAATAATTTTACTTTCGAAATTATTCACAATTGAAAATGTACTTAAGAAAATGTAAATAATGAAATATCTTTCCAATATCAGATATAAATATTCATAATTTCTAAATTATTAGAACCATTAATAAATTATTCTAAAAGCTCATTACAAAATATAATTAAGTATTTTTACCGTATTTCAATCACGGATCGTTAAACAAGAATTTAAAGTATTTAAAATATTTTGAATACCTTTTGTCTGTATTCGTATTTGTAACTAAATAGTAAATATTTATTGGAAAATATATTTAAATAATGAAAAAAAAAATGTTTAATAATAAATTGTAGTTTAAAATTTTTAAAAACAATTTTTTTTTTTTTTTTGAAATCCGTATTTGAAACTCGCTTGCTACCTTACATCAAACAGTAATTTAAAAATAATACTCTTTATACTAACTCTTCTTGATCCAAACGATTAGCTAAGGTCTACAACACATATAGAGAAAAAATACATATAATATATCTATTAACTCTATTGTATTTTAAAAATGCACTATAACTCTATTAGACCTGCAAACCTATTATTACTCTATCTCTAAACGTTTAACACCCTTTACTAATACATCAAAAAATTGTCTTGAGAATTATGAATTTGGAAAAATTACGCAAAATTATTTATCAAAAAATTACTCAACTTAGTGCCTAAATGTCCTAGAAGGTGCTGTTTAAAATGTTACAAATTGAAACCAATCAGAAATAAGAAGCTCAATCATTAAAAAAAATTAACCATTTATGTGCTAAAATTATTTTCAGGTTTCTATTTACATCAACGACGCAATAGTAAGAGTAACAGAGTTCAGACTCCGAAAGTCTAAAACTTTCGCTCAATAAACATATAAGTAACAATCTCACATAGTATCTCAAACAAAATTTCAACTAATTAAGAAACGAAAATTTTAGAAAATAAGTTTCTGCTCTAACTCTAAGTCTCAAACGGTTCCTTTTGAAAAGTAACTGGGGATTGCTTAAAGCAAACACCTATCGATACTTCTTTAATTGAATAAGATAATACTTGGTGTTAAACTAATGATGAAAAATCAAAACTTGTATGTTCAAGTTTACAACTTAACTACGTTAAAAAGTACATTTATATGGCACGTTAAAATACTCAATTTTACACTGAACCACTTTATATTTTAGTGTTTTAACCTTTTTCGCCAGTTGAGGTACAATATAATTTAAAGTTGTTTCTTTTCAAAGTGTCTCGTGGATCAAATTCAATATTAACTTGTCAACTAACTGAAAAATCACTAACACGCCTTACACTCATATTCAATTCTATTTCAAGGCTTTCTTACGAACATCTATGCAGCCTGTGGTCTGAATTGACTAAAAAAATAATATTAAAACTACTATTCAGATATAATTCAAATAGTTATATTTAAATTATTAAAATTTTAATCTACGCTCATTCAATTGAATATGGTTCATTACCTAAATTGAAGATATATACCTGTGATAAAAAATGCATACCACTCAATAAATAATATTATGTATTTCAGTATTTGTGTAAAAAAAAAAAAAAAACCGTCCATAATTAATTATTCATTCACAGCTGGTGGGTAATAATTTATATCAATTCTACAAAATATATTTTATTATAATGCAACAATAATTATTATTTACTACCTAACCTATACACATTTCGTCAATACCTACTAAACATTATTAATATTTTGAAAAGATATAACGCATTTTGTATTCCTGATTTGAATTATACTAACCTGGCGTGATGTGAATATAAGTTGTGTCTGGGTCAGTGTTTGGAGGCTGACACGTATAATTTCCTGTATCAATCTGGATTGCTTTCGTGATTGTCAAGCGACTGTAAATTGTACGATCTATCTGTTCAGTGCTGATGGATAGACGATCGGTTTTCAGTCCATTTTTATTAAAATGGCCGGATGATATAACTTTGCCATTATGATACCATAAGACGTATTGCGGTGGCACCGGGCTCTAAATCAATATTAATTGAAAATAAATAAATTTAAATCATATATTGTCGTTGTTATTGTTGTAATTACACTACATCACAATGAACTATTAGACGTTTGAAAACTCAGCAATCGCGTTTATAAGAAATGGTTGACAGGCTTAGCGAGTTAAATAAATCTCGCAAACTTGTAAACATGCAGAAACACGAAAACGTGTTTTATTTTATTATTTAAAAAAAAAAAACAACATACATATGTATAAATAACGTATGATTATTAGGAAAATACTAAATTGATTTTTTATATCAAATAAAATTCAAAATGCATGAACAAAATCCATATACGTAGGTACTTGGAAGTTAACGTTAAGTACCTATTTTTATGCATTCTTAGCCAAAATAATTATGTGAATTGGGTAAAGCTGTGTAACAGTACATGTACCTTTGTACCTATGATGTATATTATTATTTAATATAGGTACTTAATAAAAAATAATTCAGTTGAATGATTTATAATTTTGGTTTTATCAAAAATATATAAAATATTACCCATGCATGTTTGAGTAGCTACCTATATCAACTTAGTACTAATAAAAGCCTTTAACTCAATCGGTATATTATATTTTTTATGCTTTAAATATTTTGACAATAAATTAAGTTGTCGGTGATAATGCTAACAATATACGAATAATATTTTATGGATAAATTGTTTTTTTTTTTTTTATATATATAAAATAAATAGTGGCCATCTCGCAAAAAAAAAGTATTTTAAAATATATATTTATACTTTGATAATAATGATGTAAGATTGTGATCAATAACGATTTATTTAAGTCCCCGAAATCTTACTGAAATCATATTTTTATCTGACATTTTTATACATTATAATATCCGTAACTAAAAAATGTTAATACTATTCTGTGTTTCGTGTGATTTATATTACTTCTAAAAGAAACTATGGTTATTATACTAATAAATTAACTTTAGTAAAAATTGATTTCTTTTTTTATAGTTTCCAGTGAATAAATAATAAATATAATATTTCAATTATAATGGTACCTATTGATTTGATTTTTTTTCAATAATTTATTTTAGCATGAAAATAATTATGAAAATAAAATTAATTAAATGGAAATAATTGTGAGAAAATATAAAAAAAAAAAAATTCAATTAACACTGAAAATATAAGTTTTAATAATATAAATAGACAAAGTAAATAATACACAATATTAAAGTTAAAGTTAAAATTATAATTTAATTGAAAAAAATGCTCTACAAGTATAATTTAGAACTTTAATAATATTATGAAAAATAATCCCACAAAAACATTATTATACCATAAAAGGTATTTTTATGAATAACATAATATAATTGTACATGGCTAGTGATTGGTAGTTGGTTGCTATCTTTATGACATTTTATCTTGATAACATTTGAATAAACAATATAAACAATTTATAAATTCCACATTTTTTCACTTAGTGAGAAAAAAAAGTAAACTACCTATCTAGTTTTATAAATCCATATATATTGGCAGTAATTGTTAAACTATCGAAATGTAAATTTAAAAAAAAGTACTTATTTGAAAATTGAAGTGATCATTATACTTAAGYTCAATAGATATAATTAATTCTATTTTGATCGAAAATTCGTTTTATCTAGTAACAATAATCGAAGTCATGCATTTTTGGCGGTTAATAATAATTAAGTTAAAAATTAGTTATTCAACCTAGTATTTTAACACGTCGATGTTTTTGTATTGAAAATAATTTTGCTTTACGAGGTAGGTTTTATTTGTTATTTTATTCTTATATTTTTCCCTTCCAAAATTTTTCGTATTTTTTGTTTACCACGAATACCATATATTAATATTATATTATATTACGAAAAAACGTATTTTCATTATGGTGCTGTAGATGACCCGTACCTATATTATTTCTATGAATGCTCTTGATTCAAAACGAAAGGTTGAAATATATTTAATTTAGAGCGCAGAGGCCAGAGATATATACAGATTGTAATGCATAGAACCTACACGCCATACCGCCTACCTTCAATTAATTAAAACCGTATAGCTATTCATTATAAGTAATCACCAAGGCAAATTTGCAATTATAATATTCAGGTAAAAATGTTGTGAGACTAATATCATCCGCGTGATATAGGGACCCACGACAAAAGCATTAGCTAGTTGCCCCTCTATGTGGTCTTTAAAGTTTATTACATTTTGTCCAGTGCAAATTATTAACGTTGAACACTTGGGATTTTACCGATGTTTTTCATTACACGTGGTGCATCCTAGATATCTCATATAGACCATGATATTTCAGAACAGTAGTCCGAAGGTCTGGTTCTTATAAACTAAACTACTAGTAATTATTAATAATATTATAATTAAATCAACCGTATTTTCCAAAATAATAATAATGATAAATAAATAAAACATGTATAATATAATTTCTATAAGGGTAATCCAGTGTTAAACATTATTAATTTTATTAAGCTCTATAATCTTGTATTTTATAACAAATATAAAACAATTTAAATAACATGATATAATATTAACACACATCTATAAATATTATTTATATTAGTGAATACTCACATTTTCGATTTTACAACATAATACTATTGAATTCCCTTCAGGTGTGTGGTACTCATCGCTACCTGATATCACAGCCGTAGGCACAATCACAAACAAGTTGAAATAATGTGTCATGATACCAGTGCCCGTACCCACCTGTAATTTTTAAAATATAAAAAAAATTTTGAATGCATAAATATATTTTACATTTCAATATTTTAATATAAAAAAACAAAGTGGATTTTTTAAAAATGAAAACTTATTTTTTCACTTATGGAAATGTATTTTTTACATAATTTGAAAAGTTAAAAAAAAAATGTTAGAAAAAAAAAGTTATCATATTTTTCTATTTTTCTGTAGTCTTATCGTTTTCTTTTTGTTTTTCTTAAGATGACGCCACACTCGCATGTGTTGTCTCCGTCTTACAAACGTATAACATAGCAAAATCTGTTTAGCGCGGGACAACTGTTCTCCCTCAATATGACAATATTTATGATAGAATTTTCAAAATTTCACAATGCATAGGTAAGAACTTTATCTGTGTCATAGCGTCGTTATTTTTTTGATATCACAAACCAATAATAAAGTAATTTAATAAAAAAATAAAAAATAAATGTATTTTCTTAAGCTTATAACCTTAATTATATTTATGTTATCAAAAAAATAACGACGCTATGACACAGATAAAGTTCTTACCTATGCGTTGTGAAATGTTGAAAATTATATTATAAATATTGAGGGAGAACAGTTGTCCCGCGCTAAACAGATTTTGCTRTRTTATAYGYTTGTAAGASGGAGACAACACATGCGGGTGTGGCGTCCTCTTAATACCAACACATTTAATTTTAATTTCGCACTCTAAAGCTTAATATTTTCCTGAGAATTTAAACTGTTAACGATTTTATGAGTTATAAGTATTTTGAACAGTAATAACTTACTATCGGAGTAGTAAGTGGGTACCAACATTTTTCTGGGATCTCAACATATACGACTTCTCAATAGGTATTTTGCGTATTTCTTGTATGTTGTAATTTAAAGTTTTACATTTGTTCGGCGTTTGATTGTTAAACAATGAAATTCTTAGAAACATATTCTACCACATATTATGAAACTAAAAGGTAGGTATGCTTGACTTTAAAGAAAAATCTGAGAAAGTATCAACCATTTTTTTTATACAGTGGGAGTGAAGTGTAAATCGTCATTTAGAAAATCATTATAATGGACTTGTACGTTTGAATTCAGTGATAAATCATTATATGTTTTCAAAGTCGATTCTAAATGACCTGCCATTCTATTATCTTATAAATATTATGTAAATATTTAATATAAGTTGTTTTATAATTATTTATTTATTTTACTTTTATGGTAAACGGTATAATCTATAAATAAAAGGTAGCATGAAATCAATCTAATTTTTTGAAAATGTCGTAGCGTATCATATACAATATAATAGTACACTTAAATGTTTCAAATGTCTACGGAAAGTGCTTTGAATCAAAACAAAATAACTTAAAAAACAATATTATTATATAATTTAACTTTTTAGATAGTCTCTAATTTTGAATTACATTCTTAAACTTATTTACCAAATTAAAATTAATATTTATTGAAAAAAAAATAATAATTAAATCTAAAACCTTAAATGTCAAAGATCTATACATTTCTCAAAAGGAATGAAAATATTTTGAAAGTTACACCATGTGTAAAAAATAGTAAAATAAACATTGATACTTATTTTACCTCATTTTTCTTTTAAATTTAAACATACAATTTAATTTCACATTATGTGGAGCAGTATTTTTCTAAAATTCTATTGTTTAAATATCGAATTTCAAATGGGCGTAGTCTTTAATTACGATAATTTCAATTACTTATATCAACCAATTTTATTTTCTGATTTACACCAAAACAACAAAATCAATGTTTCCAAAAATTGGTTTTCGAGTGAACATTCACGTTTTTCATGATTTTCCGAGTTATTAAATGAAAAATAGGGAATCTTCAATTTTGAATTTTCAAATGTATCAATTAGATCCAATTGACGATCAGAAATTACTTTCAAAGTTCATGATTTAAGCTTTTTTTTATATACTTATATATTGACGTATCGCATATACCTAGACATACAAAAAATAAATAAACTTACTTTATTGTAAAATCAATATATTCATCAGACCATTCAAAATCTACAAGGATGAAAAAAAATAAATAATGGTAACGGTAAGAAGTAACTATATATGTATATAAATATATATTTTTTTTATTATAGGTACTTTAAGACATTTTACAATAATGTCCATGATTAAAATACCGTGAAAATATAAATGATTTTATTTATTAAATATTAACAGTTAAATTTAAAAACAGAAAATTCAAAATTATTTTGATATAAATAATTGCATGACAGCATTTAAATTAATCATAATAAATTTAAAAATTCTAGATAAAAAATTCCCTATTTATTATTTATCATGGTTCCTTTGCGAAACCAAAACAATCTTATTAAGTTTTACCTTAAAAATATTTACACTATTTTATTTAAAATATATTAAAGTATACACAAAGAGTAATTTAATTTTACCCAATTATTTAAGTTTGAGTTATAAAACAAAGTCAAACCCAGTTTAAAAACATCCACGCCAAGCTAAAAAACTTGGACAGTGCTCGACATAACAACCTAGCGAAAAAAATCTTCAACAGACATCTGCGGTCTCGACTACCCCAGGACATTCTACTAACAGACAGTGAAGACTCACCATCGGAAAATGGAGATTACTATATTAATATAATATACAAGACCTCATAACATTATTTCTATTTCTATCTCTATTTTTATTTGTATTCAAATATAATAGCACTAATAGTCTATGTTATTAATTTCAAAATTCATAAACCACAAATTATAAAAAAAAAAATATCTGTAATAGCACAATATGTGCTGAAACATTTTATAATTAATTAAATAGGTAAATAAAAAAGTCAAATTAGTCAAAAAAGTTCAAGAAGATATAAAATAATAATTAATGATTAGTATTGATTGAAGACAAGGCTATGGTGTAGATTTCATGTCTAAATATATTTTAATTAATATTTCTACCAAGTAAAAATTATATTTATAAAAAAAAATGTGTGGTATTTATATACACAATGTTTTTATAGGCTCTCACAACACATCGAGATACTTTTTGAATTACTTCTTATGTATTTAACTAATTAATTTCTATTTTTAACAATGTAGTTCAAAAGGTATACCAAATTATTGGTTAATGAGTTTTAAATTTCGATATTTGTGTAAAAATGGTGAATTTCATAATCGTACAAAAGGYAAAACTGTCAGAACAGATATGTTTCGTCTAATATTTGCTTTAATATCGGTTAAAAAAATGGTTATAGTTCTATTTATGTTCTATAGTTATTATGTGAACTAAAATTATTTAATAAAAAGTTATCAATTAACAATATTTTCAAAAAATAAACATGTTTCACTGAAGATTTAGCAAGTTGGCCCTGCAGTAAATTTCAGGAAACAGAATTAATTTTTAAACTGAAAAATAAAACAAACAAATGACGTGAATTAATTAAAGTAATAAATATCATCATGTCGTGCGATAAATAATATAGGTTTCCATAAACAAATTTATGTATATTTACTTACAAATACTATCAGAAATATTTAAGCCAATGCAATTATTAATTTATTTTGCATCTATAAATTATATGTAAGTAATTAATGAAATTATAGTYTTAATTTCCGATACATGTGACAAAGGCTTTTAAGAGAATAGAATTTTGGAATAAAATCCAATGTCATCATCGCATTGGAAATAAACAAAAGTGAATTATAAAAATTGTGTAGAGGATTAGGAATAAAATAAAAACCAATTAAAAATGCAAACAATATAAAAGTTTGATATAAGTATTAAAATAAAATAACACTTTAAAATTGTTTACTTCAAAAATAATAATCTGAAAATTGAAGTTCAGCCTACCTAGCTATCTCACGCGTAAAAAATCTGGGTTTGCACTTCCAAAACTTAAAAGTCTCAGCACAGTGTAATGAACACATTATCCATTATACCGTTTATAGGGCTTTATCTAAATACTTTTGCCGAGGATTTATTTTTTATTATTTTTTATTTTCAAGTTATTTTTTTTGCCATTAATTATATTATAATGCTTTTTGAATGAAAAAAAAAACACTATAAATTCACCAATAGTCGTTCTTAAATAACATATATTCTAAAATATTTTTTCACTACAAACTTTAATATTCAAAACGGGAGTAACCGAGTTCGTTCTCATTCGGCCTAATTGGTTCCCGTTTGAAAAAGGTGTATTATTAGATAGAGCCGAATTGATTCCCGTTCGTATTTAGGTCAAATAGTTAAAATTTTAATTTTTAATTTTAAATAAATGGTAAATTGTATAAACTAAATAATATAAAATATAATAATGTACTTATGTACTTATACTCCACATGCAGTAAAAAATAAAATACAGATTTATTTTTGTATTGGAGTATTAGCAAATTATCGCTGATACCACATACACCCCGATCAAGATAACGATTGAGATATACGTACTTATATCGTACTTACAAAGTTCTACCAAACAAGAAAAAATAACCAACACCTAGTGATCGATATGGMTGAGTATATAGATGAGAAGCTTTTGCGAATTAAATATTTAAGGAAAGTTTGCTTTAAATTTGCCAATAAACGACTTTAAATTATAATTATTGTATTTTATTATTTTTATTTTGCACACTTATAACATAAGCGACGTCTAGTTGACTTCAACGATTTTAAATTATATATATTATATTTTTTTATAGCTTAATAATATTTTTTTAAGTTTTTTGTTTATTTATAAATTAATGTGAGGTGGTGTTAGATAATATTTAGGTAAAACCATGATGGTTTGACGTGGTTTATCACTGTGATAGTATACGACTGTGGGTAAATCATTTATAGCCATCGTTCATTGACACTATACAATTAAGTTTAATCTATTTCAATCTACACCATTTACTTATATTTGGTATAATAGTGGTAAATGTGCGTAAAATGGATTGAAAAAAGAATGTGGATTCTTATTCACATTGTACATTCCTCCACTTATTTGAACCACTTCGACCATTGTATACCAGTGTCACA